GTTTTCATATGATCACTCCTCTATATATATATATATATATATATATATATATATATATATATATATATATATAAAGAGAGAGATGAGTTATTATACAACCCTTTACAATTGTACAACCAATACAACTCAATCTCAACCGTCCATTTAATTTGATGAATATATGATTTCATATAAGTTTTGATTATTTCATAATATAAAGTATTGATCATAATTAATGAACTTTATTCATCTTCCATAAATATTCAAATCATAACAAATGAACTCTCATCAATTTTATAAATATCTCAATTTATTGGATTGTATTGGTTGTACAAATTTGATGAGTTGCATTTGAAACAAACTCTCTCTCTCTCTCTCTCTCTCTCTCTCTCTCTCTCTATATATATATATATATATATATATATATAGGAGCGAAAAATGTAAACCACCCAATTTGTTCAAACCGTGCAAACCACCCTCATCCGTCGATTTCATTGTTTAATCTTATGAAATTTTTTCATGAAATTGTTTAATCTTGTGAAATTGTTTCATATAATATTTTTTTATGAAGTTGTTTCATGTATGATTATGAAATTGTTTTATATAATATTCTTTTATGAAGTTGTTTCATATAAGGTTATGAAATTGTTTCATATAATACTCAATGAAATTTTAATGAAACTGTTTCATGTATTTCTCTAAAATTAAAATAATGAAGATGATAATATCCATGATTAACACCCTCCACAATAAAAATGATTAATCAATCTCTCATAATTACAAAAAAAAAATGAACAAAATGAAAAATTATGAATGGTTGAATGAGGTTTATACAAATAACGTGGTTTGCAAAGTAAACCTCCTATATATATGTGTGTGTGTATATATATGTGTATTTGTTAGATCTATGAGAACTTCTACCTTAAGATTTGTTTCACATGTTTTTTTTTTCAATCTAAATATAGTATTTAATGTATTCGTGAACACATATTTGTTTCACAATGTGTTTATTTCATATGAATTGGGTTCACAATGTGAAACTTTTTACGTGTATTTTCTGTTTCAAACACGTAAAAAAATGTTCACAGTGTGAACTGAATACGTGTGAAACAAATTTATGTTAATCAATATCATTAATCCTTGTATTAGATTGAAGAAAAAACATATGGAATAACACATGATGCATTAATTTTTAAGGTTATCATAATCTCGTGGGTTTTCAAAACAAGATCCCTCTATCTATTACATATATATACACCAAATTTTGAAAAGTAACTATTTTTAGGTATAACAAGTTATTATAATATAAAACTTAAGGACCGTTTACTAAACATTTATTTGGTAAGTGCTTACCGAATAAATTTTTTTATCAGATTAACATGAGAAAGGCCAATAATCTTACCGGGTAAGAGAGATGAGAATAATTGAGAGTCTTACCCGGTAAGTGAGGATGACGCCTCTTACCCGGGTAAGCGCTTACCCAGTAAATTGTTGCATTCGATTTTTTTTATGTACTAAAATCTTACGCATCAAAAAAATCATAGTGTTGACTCCTATTGGTAAGCACTTACCGGGTAAGTAATCGGGTAAACGGCCCCTTACATAACATTATCAATTTGTATATTGAATTTGTTTTGTTTCAAAGACTGATTATGCCAAAAACCCTTTATTATAAAAACACAGTTATTTTGAAAAACCATGCTACTATTTAAGGATGTTCCCGCTTTTGTAAAAGTGTACAGTTATTATCGACATTGAAGTTTTTAAACAGGTAATAAATTCATCAAATTGAAAAGTCACAAGATGTCAATGTAGGATGAATTAGTTGCATTACATTAAAGGGTATATTTTAACCAACTAGGTAAAGTATGCCAATTAAGTACAACGTTCTATATGTACAAACTGTTACAGCTCGGGTGATCTGGATTACATATTGTGATAAATTACCAGCCATTTTGCAAACCTACAACTGATATAATGCTTAAATTATGTATTAAAGGTGATCGTTTGCGGGTTTGAGTCATGCATGAATAAGACCTAACCTATTTTTTATGTCCAATGTGACCAATATAATGAAACCAGACAATTTTGAGGGCTTACTTAGTTGCCCTTACCTCGCCTACTAACGGGCCGGGCTTGCTCAGGGGCAACAAATCTAAAAACTATTTTACCTTTAAAAAAATAGAACATTTACAACATTTTATATGAAAAACGGCCCACTTGAGACCCCAAATTCTCAATTCTAGTAGGTTACACACGATTTTTTAACAAAATAATATTAACTATATAACTTGGTTATATGCTCGTGAAAAGAAGTATGAGCGGGTCAGATGGCATTGTCCAAAACGAGTAAAGAATTGTAAACCACAAGGATCGAAACAATAATACAATGTAAACATAAGAACAAAAATAACAATAAATTACAAACTTAGGGACATAAATAAAAATTTCTAAACTAGAGCAACAAAAGTTTTAACAAACCACAGGGAGTAAAAACGTAATTTACTCAATATTAGAGTAAACTCTAATTTCGGTCCCTGAGATTTAGTGTGATTTTTGAAAGTGGAACTTGAACTTTGATAAGTCTAGAGATGGTTCTTGTGGTTCTCATTTTGCTATGAAAATGGTATCTGGTCATTAACTCCGTTAACAATCTCCGTTTGAATGAGAGACGATTTAGTCTTTTTACCTTTTTTCTTAAAAAATTTAAAAAAATATAACATATGATTTATATATTATTTCTTAAATTATATGTTTTATATATATATATATATATATATATATATATATATATATTTTAATTTT